TTTTTTACCAATTTATGATTTATTCCTTTGGAAACAAAAATTTGTCTCAACCATCCAACAAAAGAACATATAAAGAACTGAGAGAAGTTTCACTAAGATCAACGATTTCTAAGACTTCTGCAAGCACTACTAATCGTAAAAAAATTTTTTAAAAAAGACCTTTACGTTTAGATAAAATAGCAGTTGGACGAGGCATAATCGTTACCGTTGCATTTCTTGATTTATCTTCTCGAGTACCCGCACTACCTATGTAGTGCTGGATACGACGCCCTCGCTTCACTTCATTTTCTTCCTGAAAAAGTGAGTAAAATCAAATAAAATAAATAAAACTGCAGTAGTCAAGTTCAGCACTTATGCACAGTCCCTTTTTACTAAAGTTCTTACTAAAATCAAACCGCATGAATTAAATTTGCGAATTAAATTTGAGTGTTAGATAATCTTGGCAAGTGGTCTGTATAAGTTTAATTAACTATGCAAAAGTGAAATGATTTCATTTTATGCTAAATATTAAATCAGTTAAATTAATAAGTTATTGACTAATTCAGCTTAACTGCTAAGGTTTTTTTTTCTCTCTTAATAACTAGCCCTTTCTTGTTTTGTAATGATATTAAACAGAAAAGATTAAAAATTAGTTGGAGTAACTAACTAATTATTCAAGTCCTCAATCTTAAGCTGAACAAAATAATATAAGCTAAGTAAAGAACCATTTGAATGAGCTAACTCATTTATGTTTAATTTATTAAAAACTAAAACACTAAATTATTCGACTGCTTATCAGATTTGCTAGCCGCACCAACAAAACAAAAACAACCAACCAAATAATTCTAATTAATTATAATCTGAAAAAAATACAATAAAAAAAATGATTAAATAAATCAAACAATTATTTGAATAAATTACAGGAACAGAATGTTAAATTACTGCGAATTAAGAGTTTAAATCTATATTAAAATTACCAGTTACATTCAAAAAAAAAAAAAAAAAAGAGTGAAATATCAATTTTTACTCTAGCAATACGTGGAGAATTGAAGTATTCACGGGTAGAACGTAAATCTGAGCGTGAATGATCACCCATCAATAATAACAATTTTTTCACATATAATTTCTCCTAAAATTGTAATTATTAATTCTCTTCATTAAAATAAAAAAAAAAAAAAACATCTAACTCAAATTCCTAACTTTATCCGAACATTAAACTTAAGAATTATATTTAAATTAAAAAGAAAAACATTCTATATCATTGAATTATTCAAACAATCTCTCATAGTATTATCTTTTTAAATAGATTAAACCTTAACACTTTCCAATCTCTCACAAAGGAATAACCATTTTCTTTTTATCACTCATTCACTACTACTACATTATTCTTTGCAGTTTTTCTCAATCACTGGTAAAATGCTATTTAGTCATTCCTAGCAATCTTTGTAATCTCTCAATTGAAAACGCTATTTCAGCACCCCAAAACCATCTCTCATTATCGCTAATTATTCCTTAACATCGTTTTTAAGTGAAAAGAGCTAAAATGGCCGGGCCGCCAATTCTGATTAGTTCAAGAAAACATGACCCGGGCAAATTGTAATATTTTGTTTCAATAATTCGGATTGAAAGGCGATGAATTGTCAAGCATTGCAGTTTGATTTTGATTGCGCTAATTTGTGTTATTTGGCATGCAATTTGATGAATCAAACGAACTGAGAAGCGATATGATGGAAATTGAGCCAATGCGACATCGATTTCCGTGTTGTGTTGTATGGACACCAATACCGGTACTTACGTGAGTTTTATTTACGTAATTAGACGTAGTTGCATCGTTACAAGGACTTACGTAAGCCTTGTCACATTGTTTTACACTTTTTCTATTTCATTTCCGTGTTATGTTATATGGACACCAATATGGATAGTAACGTGAGTTTTATTTATGTAATTAGGTGTAGTTGCATCGTTATAATGATTTACGTAAACCTTGTCATATAGTTTTACACTTTTTCTATTACATTTCTGTGTTGTTTTGTATGGACACGAATTCCTATAAAAAAAGGTGGTGGTTATCTTACTTAATCTTCATTCTGTCTTCCTTATTGATTTTCCGTCTTGTTAATAGTAAGCTTTAAAACTATTGGATTATCCATCGCATAAAGAAATATAGCATTTCTATTGCAGATGGTTGTTCCCATTTGTTGGTCATATGGGCATAGCAACAAGCCGAGGTATTATCCGTGATTTTGCTGGAAGTTATTGTGTTTCTGTAAGTATCTTTCCATGTTTATGTCGTAACAGTTAACTATCTTTCTGTTAACTTTTCTCGATGTGCTTTTTTGCAATAACTACAACGGAATAAGCCAAATATTCCATAATTTTTATTTTCAATTTTATCCTACTTTAAAATAAGTTCAAATCTTAGTTTGAAGATTTAATAACTACGAAAATTTTAAAAGATTCCTTAGATTACTCATAGTGTTTTAAGGCAAATTATAAACTCGGTCTTTAAAAAATAATGTGATATTTTACAGGAAGATAATATGGCGTTTGGTTGGCCTACATGGTATCATCAAATAGATCCAAATACGATTGATGGTGGAGTGGAAGCCTGGGATCGTGCTGTGTTAGATGCGTCGGAAGAATATAAAGGGCATGTAGTATGTTTTTCTGTGCATTTTTTTTCTCAGTTTCACTGCTCATAAGTTCTTATATCATATGATTTGAAGTTGCAAAAGACCTGAAGAAATTTAATTTGAAGTCAAGCGAGGCCTTTTGACCTTCCGTTGTGATATTTCTTCACTAATAGAACAATGAGATTGTTTATCATAACTTTGAATATGTGTATTGTTTACATTGAACTTTTTTTTTCGTGACTATTAATGTGAGATTTTTCTTTTTGTCTTTTGCAGCATACTTTATTCTTCGATAATTGTTACTGCCATGTTGCGTTGGCATTGAATAAGATGAAATTTGGTCACAAACGAGATTATAATTGCTTCCGATTGGTCAATATGTTGATGTTCAAAGGTCGATATGTTGGGTAAGTTTCTATCAAAAAAAAAAAAATCTTACACCTGTAAGATCAGCATATCACACTTACACCTGCAAGATCAGCATATCACAAATATGATTAGTTATGTTCCGAATAAGACTATCTATTGAACTTCTAGAAGAGATCTGTTCTATTAGCCATAAAGCCATTCTGCTTGATTTGTTAATAAAAGTATTTAAATCATTTAATATTGGAGGCGCGATTTTGACATTTGGCTGAGGTTTTCTGTCCTGTTACTCATTTACTAATGATTTAATATTTCATATGATTAAGATGACTGAAGCTCACTTTTTATTGCAAGCGTATAGGAAGTAAAAATTTCCTGATATCTGGGATGTGTAGTTTTTTTGCTGATACTTTATTAATTACTTTGAAAAGCTTTCCAGTACAATAAAACCGCATTAAAATGTAAATTAGAGCTGAGCAATTACAATCAAATGAAATTTGCACGGCTAATTGTCTTAAGTTTTGAAATTTTTGAAATTCCTGTTATAAAAATTCTTTGCTTTTCAGGATTGGTGGTTTCATTAAGCAGTGGCTTCCGTTCACAATGATTATTTTGTTTATACTTATTATTGGTATTGTTACAAAAGGTGAATAATATTACAATGGAGCCAGTGATTTCATAGATATCCTAAAACATTTTCTCGATATGGCTATTTTTATTTACCCTACAAAGTGTATAAAAATGCCTTTATTTATAGCAGTCATAATACGGAGTTCATATGGCTAACGGAATAAACTAATTGATCTGTCTCGACCTTCTAACAATTCATGATTATGAACTCTATGATACTATTGCTTGTGTTTTTTATGCTTAGATATTTGATTTGTGCAAAAATACGGTAATTGGACTGTGTGAAATGCTCTCTTTTTTTTTTTTTTTTTTGAAATTTAATTTTTTGTATTTTTTAAGTTGTTGATTATTTGTTATATTGGCGTGTTCTAATGCTTATCTGTGTCCAGTAAGTATAGTGATTTATGCCAATATATCTTTTTTCCAAATACATTCGATATTTTCCTATTTTGTCTATAGCATTGTACTCCTCTCATAATTGACTGTTGAATTAATAATATTAATTGAATATAATTAGGAAGAATTGTGAGGATCTCACATAATATTCCAGTGCTTTTTCTTGTTATAATCATTATATATATTTTTTTAAAGAATGCAATTACTTATTGAGACTATGTATTAAATTTTAGGAGTAAGCAATTGACACAATACCCATATGCAATAATACAGCATTCTATGTGATTATAAAGAATACGCATATGTGTTAAATTATTTCTTTTCATCGAATATTCTGAGGATGTAATTTTTGATATGTTTTGGTAGGATACATAGAAGATGAATGTGGTGCCAAATGTTTAAACAATTTATACTATAATATTTAATCACATTTCTTTGTTAATGAATAAAAATATCTCAAAAATATTGTTTAAAAAAGATGATTTTTGAAATGTTTCATTCTGATAACATACTTTCCCATATTTTTCATTTATTATTTATTCTAATTTTAATCCAAAAAAGAACATACTACTGATTCACTGACGTGATCATTGCTGAAGACGGAAAAATAGAAGCATAAGGAATTGTAATATGTTGTTAGCTTTTCAGGGTGTTCAGTACCATTTCATGTAGTAATAATAATATAAAATTGTGTTGAAAATGAAAAATCAATTGCTAAGTCACAATAAAAACCTGTGACTCAAAAGATGTGACAATAATCTAAAGTTGATAAATTTTGTTTAACGATATCAGTTCTCTTGTTAATGTCGTATTGAACTTAAGAAGTACCATTCTGAAATTTATCAGTTAGAGTTGCGAAAGTTACTATCTTGCATATGTAATGTTCTAGCTGATTAGTGATAAAAATGTAATGTAATCTTTCATCCATTATTATTTGTATTAGTTCTGATTATTTCGTGAATGCTCCATTAATTTTTCTTCAGCTTTATTATTGGAATGGTTCGTCTAACAGTTGAGTTAATTAACGACTCTCTTCAATATCTTAATACAGTTCGTGATCGAGAGTTAAGTTTACGAGCTTGCAAAATTCCAGTGCTAGAAAATCTTGGCGTTACGAAGGTTAATCTTTTTTTTTTTTTTTTAAATAGATGTTATTTTAAGAGTTTTATTTGTTCAATTTTTAACTTATTTGTCAATTTTTGCAGAATCTTTCACTGTCTTTTGACATTCATTAAGGTTAATTTACCTAAGCGCTTTTTTCAAAAATTTAGTGAAACTATCCTTATAATTAGAATAGGAAGAGAAATAGAAAGGAGTGATTGAAGATTTTGTATGTTATGAATGTAAGATCAAGTTTTCTATTTTGGCAATTAGTTTTTTTTTTTTTTTTTTTTGGATTAAATGCCTTACAATAAACAGTATAAGTCTTTTGATATTATGCGCTTTTGATCTCTCAAATGTGCGTTAATCAAACATCTTAAAAATTTCTACTTTCATTTGATTTTTTCCAGGATCAATTCGATACGATTGATTTAACAGATAATGATATCAAAAAGCTGGAGAATATACCTCTATTGAGACGACTTAGCACTCTTCTGATGCATAATAATCGCGTACAGTAAGCCATTTGAATTAAATCTTATCAAATATATTGATTTATGAATTGATTATATCTTGTAGCTTTCGATAATCATTCATTTTACAGACATATAATGCCGAACATTGGCGAAGTACTCCCATCACTGAAGACTCTGGCGTTGACGAATAATAATTTATGTGAGTTAGGTGATATTGATCCTCTAGCCACCTGCTCAAAATTGGAGTATCTGACGTGAGTTTACCACTGCATATTTTATTTCTGACAGAAATTTTGTACAGTTTCATTTAAAAATGAATACCGGTTTTTTTTTTTTCAGACTAATTGGGAACCCAATAACTCACAAACCACAGTATCGTCTTTACGTAATATACAGGGTACCATCAGTGCGTGTCCTCGATTTTAAACGAGTTCGTCTTGCAGTAAGTTTATCTTTTATTTGTTCTAGAGAATATACCTGGTAAAAATATCGAGAATGCACATTATAATAAAAGGACTGATTCACTGAATAAATGATGTATAAATATTGTGCGAAAAGTCATACGAAGATATTTTTTCAGGAAAGGAAACAAGCAAATAATTTGTTCAAGGGTAAAAAGGGTCAGAAATTCAGGGAAGAAGTTGTAAAGAAATCGAAAACTATTCCTGATGATGAAGACGGACAACCGAGAAATTTGCATGTGGAGGATGCTAAGAAAATTGAGGTAATATATGCAGTGTTTGAAGTTTTTGAACAGTTTTCCAAATGTTTCAACTTGTAAAAACAAATTTGGAATTTTGTTAAATTCCAATATTTTGGCTTATCATAAATGAATATATATATATACTCTGCAAGTGTAATTAAAAGCAATATGCAAGCCGACTTTGCTATCATGTGCCATACTATTAATAAATTATTTATATACAAATTAGTGACAATTGTCAGTTTTAGCATATCAAACCATTTTTTAATTTCAAATAAACTTTATATTTTTTGAGGAAGCGATTGCATCAGCTTCGAGCCTTGTTGAAGTGGAGCGATTGCAAGCAATTTTACAAAGTGGACGAATTCCGGAAAGTGGTTGGAATCGTGAAAGTATTGGTAATATAACAGAAAATGCTGAAAAAGAGTAAGTTCATAAGTAAAGGTTCAAAAATTTTGTCGACATTCTTTCCGTAATGCATCAATAAATTTAATGATTTGTTGAATTGTATCATTTGTAGCACGAAAGAAAGTAATGGATTTGTTGCTGAACAAGAAGATGACGATGATGATGTTCGTTCACCAATAGCAAATCCTGCTGATGATGATGTTAACGATGATGTACAATCTCCAGTAGCAAGTCCACCACATGAAGTAAAATTATTTATTAATTTTATTGTGTTTATTGGGGTATGTTAAGAAATTAGATTTTAATAAATAAATAATTCATTTCCACTTATTTATAGATCTTTTTCAGATTCAAGTGATTTATACATTGTCTTTAATGTTTCTTCTTTGATGCCTTTTCGTTATACTGAGTTAAACTTATTTGAAAAGTACATTGGAATAGTTTATACATAATGGAAACTTTTCCTTTCAAATGTCAAAGAAGAAAGTTTAACTCAGAAATAAGAAACAAAAATTGAAAATCTTTTTTTTTTTTTTGCAGGAAGAGCTAGATAATGGGCAAATGGAGTAAATGATGGAGAAATAAGAAACAGTTATGGTTTTACTTTTCTGGTAAGCGAGTAAATGGCAAAGAAAAAAAAAGTTAAAAGTTCATCATTGTCTCATATCAGTGATCTTAAGTTTGATACGTTGTCTGCACCGTTTTTTTTTTTTTCTTTTAATTGTTGCATTCTTATCATACGTGGACAACGAGAGTACAGATACTTCACTTTTTGGTCTTATATGTACCATTTCGGTTGTTTGGCGATATTGTTTTGTTTTGTTCATTCCGAAATAAATGTTCAATAGATCAAGTATATCACAGATTAGTATAAATAAATAAACATTTGTATAAAGTAAAAACTTTGACCTTCAGGGAATTCTTTTGAAAATTAATAATACAAGCCACAAATTAACGCTAATATATTGTGACGTAACTGTAGAATCTGTAGGGAGTAAAAAACAAAAAGTGTTAATGAATAATATATCTTAGGTAATGTGCATTATCAATCGTACATTCAACTTTTTTTTTTCCTAAAACGAATACGTGAGACGTATCAACGTGAATACGTTACGAGGATTCTTTCAATATTCTGAATGTAATTGCATGAACCTAGGTAAAATAAGATATGTTTAGAGTCAAAGAACAATTTGATACTAGCAGTATTTGTATTGTTGTTTATGGCTGTTTTAATCACATTAAGATTTAACAGATATGAGTAACATCAAATTTTTTTTTTTTAAATATGTAAGATAATTTTACATTTTTTTTTTCCTAAAACGAATACATGAAACGTGTCAACGTGAATACAGTTACGAGCGTTCTTTTAATATTGTGAATGTAATTGCGTGAACCTAATATATACGTGTACGTATAATTGTTCAACGTGTTTTATTTGAATTTTATTCTTTAAATAGCAAAATTTTAAATTCTAGAGAAAATAACACAAATGAAATTTTGAAAAGAGAAGATAAGAGAGAAAAGAACATTTAAGTTTTAATTTTAGTTTCGAGCACTTGACAACTGGTAATAATGGCTAAGTGGTGGTACTATGCTGATTATTTCTCGTCGAGGTGATTTGTTTGATGGTTCAATTCTCCCACTACAACAGTTTTAAAGCTGTCAATGATGACATTTAAAAATAATAAAGCTCAACAGGTATGAGTATACCAAAATATGTGATATGCATTCCGAATATCTGAGACGGCTATTCTCGAATAAATATTATATTTATCCTAGGTGAAATCTATCTACCTGAAAAAGATGACTACCTGAATTATACTTATCCAGTAAAATGCGAAATGTAAATAATGAATTTTGAAGATTGTGAAGTGCAAGTTGCTGCTGGATTTTAAAATATTTTGAAATTTTCAAATTGTCCTACGAAGTAAAACGAAAATGGAAGCGAAAATAGATTGAAATTTTATTATTTTTATAATTATTTTACGTAGAATGCATTAGATTTTACGTATGTTTATCATTTACTTCACGTATTACATTTACATATTTGATATTTACATATTTCAAACAAAAAAAAAAAGAAAAAGAAAAGAGTTACATATTTTTAGAATATTATTGTCGTAGGATATAAAATCTTGAAGAAAAAAGAAATAAATAAATAATATTTTTTGATAAAACTTACAAAATTACAGATTGTATGATAACAATATTTTTGATATGATTAGAAGGAATTGTTTTTTTAATTAAACACAATTTTTTGGCATCATCTATAATCATGATTATAACTGCTATCATGATTATAAACCACGATTATAAAAAAGATATTTTTGTGTTGTGTTCTTTCGTATTTCTGATTCCAGGTGATCACGTAGTATCTGAAAAAATTAACAAATTTTAGCTTTGCATTTGATAATAAATAACATTTTAGGGATGGCATTTTTTCTCTCTGATTAATATGAAATGAATTTATTTCTACAATCTCTTTTATTCTTTATTTTAAATTAAAATTTTTTTTTTTTTAAATTAAAACAATAGTTTATACCTTTGATTCTTGCGGGAAAATTGCCAAAGATATGGGTAAACTGAATGCAAAACTAAATATGCAAACTACAGCACTGATGAATAAATGATTTGTGGTACTTTTAGTAATCCATTGATATTTTCTGCAAGAAAAGATTATATTTTTTGTAATCGATGAGAGGTCAAATGATCAGAAATTAAAGGTCAACATACAATTTTTCCTTTATTTGTTCTACATTCTACTAGTATTTATAGAATAACATATTGATGGGTCAATCTTTTTTTTTTTGTTTATAAAAGTAAGTAATTGTTTTTCTGTTTTTTTTTAACTTAAAAAAAAAATTTTCTTTTTTACATAAAATAATTTACTTACTTTTCCAGAAATGGCATTACACATGGAGGTATCATTAACAGTGGTATTGGTAGAAATGCCCGTGTTAACATTGTATCTTCTACTGCCTATAATTTTGAAAATTTAAAATTAGAGAAAATTTTAATCTGAAACTATTTTTTTTAAAAAAAAAAAAAAAAAATTTGTGAAAATTTTTCTTACAAATTATAATTTTGCACATTATCGAGTAATTTCTGTCTATTAAATTGATTGTTTAAAAAAAAAAAATAAAATAAAAATAACATTGAGGAAGTAATTTCCTCTTCCGATAATTTACTTATAAATAAAATTATATGTTAACTTCTTTTTTTTCGTTTTTTTTTTTTTTTTTGATTTATTTTAAATTAGAATTTTCGAACATTTATTTTTTATTCCTTCTTTTTTTATTTTCTATTTTTATTTTTCATTTATGAAATTTTCCTATAGCAAATTGTAAATTGTAAAGTTGCAAAATAATTTCAATGTAGCAAATAAAAATTTTTATGATTAGATGAAAATTAATGATAGTATATGAAATAGAGATTGAATTATGACTGAAAAGATGAGGAAATTTTGATTAGAAATCAGAAAAAATTCATTTTTTTCATAAAAATGTTTTAAAAAAATTTTAAAAAACAAAAAATAAAATTAAAATATCGAAAAAAAATTTTTTTAAACTAAAAATTTGCATCACTGTATATTCTAAATTGAAAATGAAAAATTACTTCTTTGTATTTACTTACCTAAATTATTAAATTTAATGTTTTTTTTTTTCCCCTCTGTTATTTTAATTTAAAGAAAATTTAAACTCAAAATTTTTTAACCATTTTTTTTTTCTCATTTATATAAAAATATTAATTTAAACCTTTTTAGCAGCAATTTTAGATACACCAATTACATTTTGATTACAATCATACACGTTAATACCATTCTGTAATTCATTCCAACGCATGCATAACACGTTAAGTGAACTTGCAAATGACGTAGCTGGTAACGGTATAAAACGTTGAATGATTACACGTTTGATAGAATTTAATTTTTCAGTACGTTTGATTAGAGCTGTTAATCCTGAAATATTTAAATTTTCATTCTTTTTAAGCTTATAATTTTGTAAATAAATTTTTTTTTAGCACTATAATAATAAAAATTGAAATATTGTTTTTTAAAAAAACGATGAAAATTTACACATTTTAATTCATAAAATTTATTTATCATAGTAACATATCATTTATCGTTGTAATTTTAATTAACAATGAAACATTTTATAAACAAATTTAAATTTTAGATTATTTAAAAAAAAAATTTTTTACCCAAAGCAACAATACTAGCTGATGAAACAGCTGCACAATATGCATTTATATATTGTAATGTTGATTGCTCCTAAAAAAAAAAAAATGAAATTGAAATTTCTCAAAATTGTGATAAAATAAACAACAACAACAATAGCAAATAAAGTTTTTTTTGTTGTTGTTTACTTTAAAAATGATGAAATAAACAAATAGAATGTTAAATCTAAAAAATAAATTTATAAAAAATGATTAACCTGTGTAGCATTACGATTTGAATAATTAATTAATGCATTATGAGTTTGATTAAGCCATTGCCAAAAAAGTATTGAAAGCCAAGATGGATTTGGCAGTAACATACCAGTAACCTGCAAAAAAAAAAATAATAATATTTTTCTCTTTTTTTATTTTTTTTTTTAAAAAGTTTACTATTATTATTTTTTTTTAAATAATTTATTTATTACATGCAAATCTTACCAAAAATAAAAAAAAAAATCATATTTTCATCTTTTGTCCCAAAAAATTTCGTTTAAATTTATAGTATTATTTGTTTACATATATGTATTATTAACTGAAATATTTTAAAGTTATCTTAAAAAATTATCTAAAATATTTATACTTTTACAAATATTATACAATGATTTTTTTTTTAACATTCTATTCTAATTGAACTTCTATTAAAATTCTATCTAAAAAAAAATTGCAACATATAGAAGTTTAAATTTTAAATTAAAAAATGAGATGACCGTTATCCAACCAAATGGTACATAACCACTCATTCGAAATGGTGGTAAAATTTTGTCACCCGTATCAGGATGCAAAATAGCTGATTTAATTTTTTGTGCTTCCCATAATTGTTGATCAGTTGCGAACTGAATTTTACCCATTTTATAATTATTTAGCAATTCAATACTGTTACGAAGTTTTTCCTGAAAGACAACGGAGAAAAATGCATATCAAATTTGGTTAATAATAACAATTAATAATAATAATAATTGACAATAATAATGATAATTAATAGTAATAATAATAATAATAAATAATAATGATTAATAATAGTGACAATTAATAATAATGATAATAATTAATAATAATAACAATTAATAGTAATAATAATTAATAATAATAATAACAATAATTAACAATAATAATAATAATTAATAATAATAATGACTATTAATAATAATAATAATTAATAATAATGGCAATAATAATTAATAATAATAAAAAATAATAATTATTATTATTAATCATAACAATTAACAATAATACTAACTGATAATAACAATAATAACAATTAATAGTAATAACAATAATTAATAATAATGGTAATAACAATCAATAATAATAAATAATAATAATGAAGATAATAATTAATATTAATAACAATTAAC